TTACGCCTCCATATTATTGTGGTGCTCGACCTGACACACAAAGGCTGGGTCCAGATGAGACGTTCAAGGGGTTTGGCTCCGGGGCTTTGTCCCCTCTGCTATGGAGCCCTGAGGAAATAGAACCACACATGCAGCTGCAACCGTCCCTGGGGGTATACCTGCACTGCAGCTGTGCACAGCCTAGCCTGGCTGACCTAGCTGGCATCCAGCTAGCACAGGTAATGGCAACAGGAAAGGTGGTGCCGTGTGAGCTGGCAAGTGTATATCACCTGCCCTGTGCTGTTTTCTGAGTGTGCATCACCTGCCCTGTGCCATTTTCATTGCTCTTGTTGGCCCGTCTAGCTGGATTCATGCTAACCCCAGTAACTAGCCCTGCACAGCTTTTATGAAATAGACACCCCGAGGGTACTCGACACAGTCCCCATTAGCAAAATCACCCTGAACATACTTTGCACCCGCTCAAATTCACTCCTAGCCCAAGAGCCAGGGTCTATGCCCCACTTCCATCCTACTGAAGAGCTCTTTGCTGCTTTTGGCCAGATGGGAGAACGTCTCCCGCTGGGCCTTTCGCTTGGAGGGTCAGTTTCACTTTCTTAGTCTACTTCATACCCAGTTCTCATTCCTTAGCGCCCCTGCCCTGTTGGTGTTTGGGTTCATAAAACTGCAGCGGAAAATTTAACTGTAATTTTAAACAAATTATGAATCAACTTGATGTGATTATTATTTTTCTTCAAAATCACGTGACTAAAATATTTCCAGTTGTATTAGGATTTATAATCTCTTCCGTCTTTTTAAACAAAATATAAATACTCACTTGACAATATCCCTTTAAGCTGAATAAAAGTTAACAGACCCAGCCAAACTCAGGTCTCAGGGCGACCAATATAAACGGGGATAACCCCTCTGACTGCGACCTCCGTGCAAAGCAGCGTTGCGTTACTTTACTTGTCAAATCGCTGGGCTAGGACAGGCTTGTTGTTCTGTATCTGCACAGCACCTCGCACACTGGACCCTGGTCCAGGACTCGGGCTGCTAGGCACCAGGCAATACGAGTGTCCTGTATGTCTGAGAGAGTGTCGGTCTATGTGTCTGTCTGTCTGACCGAGAATCCCTACTAACCAGACAGAGCTAGGACTCCCACATTCGGTCGACAGCTTCCTCTTCTCATCACTTACAGCAAGGTCAGGGATGGTTGTGCCAGGGCAATGGGTGTGCCTGGAATGGGATTGCTTCTCAGAAAACCATGCAGAAAAGAGACAGAATCACAAGGCTGGTGAAAGGGGCTGGCTGGGGGCACGGTCCCCACTCCCCCGTCTGGGACTGCCCCAGGCCTGAGCCTCTCACCCCCAGGTGCCCGTTAGGGAGGGTGGCAGAGGGCTGAAGCCCCCCTTTTGTAGGGAACATGGCTGGCTGTTCCCCTTTGTCAGGGAGCGAGGGCAAAGTGCCCAGTTTGCTGCATTCCTCACTCTGGCTGGGAAGCGCAGGGGGCAGACGAACCTGGACCTGCTCCAGGCAGGGAACATGCCCCCTCCCCTGGCTGTGCCCACTGGAGCTGCAGTGGCCATGGAGAGGCGCTTCTCTCCTGGCCTTGAGCTGCTGTGGTGAGAGGGCTGGGGCTGTCCCCTCTCCATGGGGCAGCCTGCACCTGAACCCCTCCCCACCAGCTGCACCCCAGAGCCATGAGTGGAATGAAGAAAACCAAAAGTGACTTGAGTTAAGGGCCCCACAGCACCGGGTACAAAGTCACCAAATAATAACCCCTGCGCAGTGGCATTGCCCCTACCGAGAGCTGACTGTAGCCCTCGAGGTTTGCCGAACTGCTGGGTCTCCTGAGGCAGAGCAGCGCGGGCTTGGCTGCCCACAGTTCCAGCTGACGGCTGTGGAATTGCAGGGCTAAGGACTTCTGACACTCCCACCGAGACGTCTTCGCTTGGGCACTCTGCATGCAGACAAAACCGGAGGCCACATTGAAACTTCACCTTAATTCCTGTTTGTGGCACGTTGGTGTCAGATTATTTATAATATAAAAAAATGCATCCAAATCGCAGCTGTTCTCTTCCTGCGAGGCTGAGGGCTATGGTTTGCAGTGTCACTAGCGAACCTGCACAAAAGCACAGCCCTGTATTGTATAGCTGGGCACAGGTTAGACTGGAGAGCTACCCATGACACAGTGCATAATCTACTGGTAGTGCCTGCTACAGTAATAATCCCTTTTTTATTTAACCTAAATCCTCAGAAAACTCCACTTTGAAACAGGGAAATGCCCCAAAGAGTAAAGAAAAGTTATGTATAAGAAGGGAGGAAGGGGGGGGGGGTCTCCTGATAGCTCTACCCCAGTCTCCCCCAGGAAGAGCAGAAGCCAAGATTTCTTGCTCCTGTGGTCTGCTCACGAGGGGAGATGGAGAATGCCGGGGCAGGGCGGAGACCGGAAGAGCAGCAGGACTGACATGTTCTCTTGTTCCTGCGGGGATTCACTGAGACTTGGGGGGAGGTGCACAGGGAGGGACCAACTGGAGCCTCTGGAGACAGCAGCGCCTCCAGAGTGGTGCTAGAGCCAGGCAGGACGCCCCCTGGGCCCTGGAGTACTGAGCTCAGGCGCCACCAGGATCAGCTCCGCCTGGCTCCAGTGCCGCACCCGGGCAGCTCTCTTCTGCTTCTCACTACTGGCTCCAAACTGCCCCGAGCCCCGCTCCCTGCACTCTGGGGAGGTGAGACCTAGAGCCGAGCACAGAGCTCGACCCATTCCTCGAGAGAACACAGAGGAGCCTCCTTGCGCTCCCGCTCCAGCACTGGGAGGATGGGAATGTGGGAGCAGGGGCATCACGCCCGTCGGGCAGCCAGGGAAGCAAGCAGCCAGGGGCAGCTCTGCTGGAGCTCCAGGTACAATGGCAAGCAGCACTTGGTCCCGCAAGGAGAATGCTAATTTCCTGCCTCCTGGGGTTTTCCTCCCTGCATTGGCTCACACGGACAATTGTGCTCTGTCACTTACAATACCTTTAGCCCGTCCACCCACCACTTACGCCTCCATATTATTGTGGTGCTCGACCTGACACACAAAGGCTGGGTCCAGATGAGACGTTCAAGGGGTTTGGCTCCGGGGCTTTGTCCCCTCTGCTATGGAGCCCTGAGGAAATAGAACCACACATGCAGCTGCAACCGTCCCTGGGGGTATACCTGCACTGCAGCTGTGCACAGCCTAGCCTGGCTGACCTAGCTGGCATCCAGCTAGCACAGGTAATGGCAACAGGAAAGGTGGTGCCGTGTGAGCTGGCAAGTGTATATCACCTGCCCTGTGCTGTTTTCTGAGTGTGCATCACCTGCCCTGTGCCATTTTCATTGCTCTTGTTGGCCCGTCTAGCTGGATTCATGCTAACCCCAGTAACTAGCCCTGCACAGCTTTTATGAAATAGACACCCCGAGGGTACTCGACACAGTCCCCATTAGCAAAATCACCCTGAACATACTTTGCACCCGCTCAAATTCACTCCTAGCCCAAGAGCCAGGGTCTATGCCCCACTTCCATCCTACTGAAGAGCTCTTTGCTGCTTTTGGCCAGATGGGAGAACGTCTCCCGCTGGGCCTTTCGCTTGGAGGGTCAGTTTCACTTTCTTAGTCTACTTCATACCCAGTTCTCATTCCTTAGCGCCCCTGCCCTGTTGGTGTTTGGGTTCATAAAACTGCAGCGGAAAATTTAACTGTAATTTTAAACAAATTATGAATCAACTTGATGTGATTATTATTTTTCTTCAAAATCACGTGACTAAAATATTTCCAGTTGTATTAGGATTTATAATCTCTTCCGTCTTTTTAAACAAAATATAAATACTCACTTGACAATATCCCTTTAAGCTGAATAAAAGTTAACAGACCCAGCCAAACTCAGGTCTCAGGGCGACCAATATAAACGGGGATAACCCCTCTGACTGCGACCTCCGTGCAAAGCAGCGTTGCGTTACTTTACTTGTCAAATCGCTGGGCTAGGACAGGCTTGTTGTTCTGTATCTGCACAGCACCTCGCACACTGGACCCTGGTCCAGGACTCGGGCTGCTAGGCACCAGGCAATACGAGTGTCCTGTATGTCTGAGAGAGTGTCGGTCTATGTGTCTGTCTGTCTGACCGAGAATCCCTACTAACCAGACAGAGCTAGGACTCCCACATTCGGTCGACAGCTTCCTCTTCTCATCACTTACAGCAAGGTCAGGGATGGTTGTGCCAGGGCAATGGGTGTGCCTGGAATGGGATTGCTTCTCAGAAAACCATGCAGAAAAGAGACAGAATCACAAGGCTGGTGAAAGGGGCTGGCTGGGGGCACGGTCCCCACTCCCCCGTCTGGGACTGCCCCAGGCCTGAGCCTCTCACCCCCAGGTGCCCGTTAGGGAGGGTGGCAGAGGGCTGAAGCCCCCCTTTTGTAGGGAACATGGCTGGCTGTTCCCCTTTGTCAGGGAGCGAGGGCAAAGTGCCCAGTTTGCTGCATTCCTCACTCTGGCTGGGAAGCGCAGGGGGCAGACGAACCTGGACCTGCTCCAGGCAGGGAACATGCCCCCTCCCCTGGCTGTGCCCACTGGAGCTGCAGTGGCCATGGAGAGGCGCTTCTCTCCTGGCCTTGAGCTGCTGTGGTGAGAGGGCTGGGGCTGTCCCCTCTCCATGGGGCAGCCTGCACCTGAACCCCTCCCCACCAGCTGCACCCCAGAGCCATGAGTGGAATGAAGAAAACCAAAAGTGACTTGAGTTAAGGGCCCCACAGCACCGGGTACAAAGTCACCAAATAATAACCCCTGCGCAGTGGCATTGCCCCTACCGAGAGCTGACTGTAGCCCTCGAGGTTTGCCGAACTGCTGGGTCTCCTGAGGCAGAGCAGCGCGGGCTTGGCTGCCCACAGTTCCAGCTGACGGCTGTGGAATTGCAGGGCTAAGGACTTCTGACACTCCCACCGAGACGTCTTCGCTTGGGCACTCTGCATGCAGACAAAACCGGAGGCCACATTGAAACTTCACCTTAATTCCTGTTTGTGGCACGTTGGTGTCAGATTATTTATAATATAAAAAAATGCATCCAAATCGCAGCTGTTCTCTTCCTGCGAGGCTGAGGGCTATGGTTTGCAGTGTCACTAGCGAACCTGCACAAAAGCACAGCCCTGTATTGTATAGCTGGGCACAGGTTAGACTGGAGAGCTACCCATGACACAGTGCATAATCTACTGGTAGTGCCTGCTACAGTAATAATCCCTTTTTTATTTAACCTAAATCCTCAGAAAACTCCACTTTGAAACAGGGAAATGCCCCAAAGAGTAAAGAAAAGTTATGTATAAAAGTATTCAAAATAAACACTCTTATTTCCCTCATGTTCTTAAAATCGAGAAATCGTTTCTCTCGGGGCTGCTGGAATGGAGAAACGTCTGATGCCCTCGGTACTGTGCCTCCCAGAAGCTGACATCTCAAGTGCCATCTTGAAAGCGTTGCATTTGGGATCAGCGGTGGGGGCGGGTGTTAGGCATCCCTCCCTGGATGGCTCACGACCTGCAAGGGGAAATAAGAACACCCCGCAGGCAGACTGGTTAGAAAATGCTCATTATTTCCAGGAACCAATGCCCAGTGTTTCCCTCGTCCCCTTCCCCCACTATTTTGGCAAACGCGCATTTAGCAAAAGCTGTCAATGCCTGAAACCGAAAAGACAAATTGAAAAACCAGGCTGTTTACAGAAACCCGCAATCACGACGACCAAAAATGGCCATTTCAATTTTTAAACAAAAAGCTGTTTTTTCACTGGAAAAAATGTTGCAATGAAATGTATTGTGTCTGTTTATGTAAAGGGTGGGTGGCCCCGCTAAGTTTCAGCTGCGAAATAGCACAGGCACCATGGCCTAGCCCCTGACAGGGAAGTAGGAACCAGAGAGCTCCAGAAAGATCTCCTACTTGGAAATCCCAGACCCCATAAAATACTGCCTGGGTCTCCCTGGGATCTGGAGCACTGGAGCATGGAACTCTGGCCCTGCTGAAATCAATGGCAAAGCCAGCCCTGAATGTGAATGGGCCCAGGATGTCAGCCTGCAGGTTCGCTGCAATCCATGACGTGCAGAACTCCAGCAGGGCACCCTGTCCTCTAGCAGGGCCCGGCAGGAATTGCCCCATCTTCTGAGGCAGGCTGGGGGCGCTAAAGCCTGCGGCCTGGCTCTACCCCAACGTACTGTGATCCAGCCCACAGTGATCGCCACACGGGCGGACAGACACCGGGCACTAGAGCGGGCAGGGACCTCGAGAGTTCAAGTCCGGACCCTGCCCACATGGCAGGGCCCAGCACCGTCTAGACAACGTTTCTCAACCTTTCTCTATAAAGTACCCCTTTTTCCAAAAAAAAAATGGTAAGTACCCCAGTGCCTACACTTTTCAGACACACACATTTTTTTCTACCATTGCAACACATTTGTTTAAACAACTTAATCGTAGCCGGGTGGGCAATGAAATGTTTGGGTGTAAAAAGTACAAAAATAATACTGTAAAAGTGCTGTAAAACTTAAAACAAACATTCTGTTTTCTCCAAATTTCAGTTGTGTTGACATCCCCCCCCCCAGACTTCTCTCGAGTGCCCTTAAGGGTACTTGTACCACTGGTCTAGACCATCCCTGATAGATGTCTATCCAACCTGCTCTCCAGAGATGGAGATTCCACGACCTCCCCAGGCAACTTATTCCAGTGTTTAACCACCCTGATAGGTAGGAAGTTTTTCCTGATGTCCAACCTAAACCTCCCTTGCTGCAGTTTAAGCCCATTGCTTCTTGTCCCGTCCTCAGAGGCCAAGGGGAACAATTTTTCTCCCTCCTCCTTGTCACACCCTTTTAGATACTTGAAAACCACTATCATGTCCCCTCTCAGTCTTCTCTTTTCTAAACTAAACCAGCCCAGTTCTTTCAGCCTTCCCTCATAGGTCTTGTTCTCTAGACCTTTCATCATTCTTGTTGCTCTTCACTGGACCTTCTCCAATTTCTCCACATCTCTCTCGAAATGTGGCACCCAGAACTGGACACACTATTCTAGTTGAGGTCTAATCAGTGCGGAACAGAGCGGAAGAATGACTCCTCCTGTCGTGCTCACAACACTCCTGTTAATGCCTCCTAGAATCATTTTGCCTTTTTTGCAAAAGTGTTGCACTGTTGACTCATATTTAGCTTGTGGTCCACTCTGACCCCTAGATCCCTTTCTGCCGTGCTCCTTCCTAGACAGTCGCTTCCCATTCTGTATGTATGAAACGGATTGTTCCTTCCTAAGTGGAGCACTTTGCATTTGTCCTTATTAAACTTCATCCTGTTTCCCTCAGACCATTTCTCCAGTTTGTCCAGACCATTTTGAATTCTGACCCATCCTCCAAAGTATTCCAATCTCTCCCAGCTTCCTATCATCTGCAGACTTAATAAGCGTCCTCTCTATGCTGATATCTAAATGGTTGATGATGATATTGAAAGAACCAGCCCCAAACCAGACCCCTGCGGAACCCGGCTCGTTCTGCCCTTCCAGCATGACTGGGACCCGTTAACTCCTCTCTGGGAACGGCTGTCCAGCCAGTGATGCACCCCCCCAACAGTGGCCCCATCTAGGTTGTATTTGCCTAGTTTATCTCCAAGCGTCAGACATCCCGCAGGGCTGGAGCACACGTGCCGGCTGGCCCTGCTGGGGGAGGCTCTAAGGCGTGGAGCCCTGCTCCCCACCCTCCCCATGGGCTGGAGAACGGCTCCCCGAGCCGAGGGTGAGTGAGGTGAGAGCGGGTTTTCCTCAACTCCAGGTGGCCCCCAGCTGCTTTTTCTGTCGGTCAGTGACCAAGGTTCACTGCCCTGTGCTAAGGTGGGCAGTGCCCTTGCTGGAGTCTGCTGCCCTCCCTGCCAGTGCCTGTGAGTTGGCCTTTCCCACCAGGGCCCAGTGTGAGCCAGGTGCAAAACACATTTCTTACGAGAAAGTGAAAACATCCATTCCCCTCCTGGCGAGTGTGTCCAAACCACCCGCTCTCCACGAAGGCGCCCTGGGGCCTGGCTGCGCGGCCCAGGGTGCGCAGGGCCGTCGGAGACACGGCAACGCGCCCCAAGTGTGCACGGAGAGGGCTGCGCTGTGTCCACTTGTGGGTTTGCCTTGGCCCCTCCCCCCGCCTCACGTGCGCTGGGGTGAGGCTGGGCAGGGAGGGGCAGCACGTGGAGCAGCCTGGGAGCTGCCAGCTCTGGCGGGCATTAGCGCAGCCCCAAAGCTGCTCTGATTTGTCCCAGGGCCAACATGGCCTTCCCCGTGAGCTCTGGGTCGGGAGGTGGAACTGTAGCACAATTCCCCGGTGCACTGACCCCCTTGGGGAACTAGCCCTTTTGGCTGAGGCCTGCCGTGGGCATCAGGGATCATCAGATTAACCCACCTAACAGGGAGGCCTACGGAGGCGTCAGGCCTGATTCCCAGAGCCGATAAACTCCACGAGAGCAGCTGGTGCTCAGCGCCTCTGAAAATCGAGCCCCCAGTGTTTTGCCCTGGTCCCACGGTGAGTCAGTGGCAGAGCTGGCAGAGACTCCAGAGCTGTGGGTCCCAGGTGTGTGCTTGGACAACCCTCGGCCATGCAAAGCAGCAGGGTGTGGGGACACGCCTGCATGGGCCTGGCCTGGGGGAGCAGGGGCTGGGAGTCGAGGGCCTGGCCTAGGAGGTATTTTCTGGGGTTTCTTGCGTAAGTGTTAGCAATGGAGACGTCTCGCAGGACCGGCGCTGATGTGACCCCGGCCTAGCAGCGAGCCCAGGGCAGAGCGAGGTGCTTTTTGCTCTGCGTGGGGACCAGAGCACTCCGCAGGTGCATCCCGATACAGAACTGCTCCCCCTCAGGTCTAGCCTGGAAAGACGGTGCCGACCCCCAGCCCCTCCTCCAAAGTCCATCGCTGGCAGCAGGTCCTGGCCCCTCCAGCCTCCCATTTCCCTTCCCCTCTCCCACCCCATTCACCCACCCCACACGAAGGGCGGGGGGGGCGAGGGGAGCTGCCTGGGTGCTGCAGGGAGGGGCCGCGAGGAAAGACCAGGAGCAGGAGTTTCACGAAGGCTCTTACTGGGCAATTTTGCAGTTTGTGGTGGCAACGTAGCGTCCGGTATAGTGAATATTGCACCTCACCGCATTGTTGGTGAAGTCTGACTCCAGCACCAGGTACTTGGGGTTCACCTGAACCTGAGAAGACAAAGCAGAGACCACCTGAGAACCCACCCCTGGTGCGCTGTGTAGGGCGAGAAAGGGATGGAATTGTGCATCCCACCTGTGTCCCATCTCTTGTGTCTAGCCCAGCTACCCCTGGGAGCTGTACAGCCCCATGCGCAACAGGCCCTGCTCTTGACGGGTCCCCGGCTCAACTGTAATCCGCAGCTTTGCAATGACAAGCGCAGCCGATTGCTGGGGAGGGGCCGGAATTCCCTTTAGGGACATGAACTGCCTGGCAGCTTTGCTTGCCCACTGTCCCCGGTTCGAGTTCGTGCTTCCTCCTGCAGGCGAAGTGCCTGCGCATCCGTCCCAGAAAACAAAGCGGTTTCTGTCCTGATGCCCTGTCCTGCTTCTCTGCAGCAAATGGCAAGAAAAGAAAAGTGGAAGCAGAGAGGGTCCAGCGCTGGCGTGACTGGGCTTAGCCTGCCTGGAGCTCAGTGGCACTGGGCCCGCTTGGAGCTGGGCTTCATTCGCTCCTCACAGGGCGTTTGTGTACAAGGAAAAGCAGCAGAACAAGGGCTCCAGGGGACCCCCAGTTGTTTCATTTCCTAGCCCCCTGCTGCCAATGCGCAGCTTGTCCTGGGCCTCCGGCAGCTGCTTGCTCCTCAGAGCCCGTCTGACCGGCTGTGCTGCTCAGGTGCGTGGCGATGGGCAGGCTGTGGACACACGCAAGCCAAACCCAGCACTAGCGTCACCCTGGCTGTGCAGGGAACAGCTCCCTCCAGCCACGGGCCTGCCGGAGAGGCCCAGCGAGCCAGGACACCAACCTTGAGGATGTAGTTTCCAGGCTGCACGTCTGTGATGTCAATCCACTGGCAATCGATGTCCGCGTTGTAGGTGTCATAGCAACCGGGACTCAGGCCCTGGCAGAGGGAGAGCAGTGGCCACAGGCCGTGGCGTCAGCGTTTCTCATGAGCCGCTCGCTCTGCACACGGGAACACGCTCACCCGCGGTGCGGCTCTGGGCACGGGAACACGCTCACCCGCGGTGCGGCTCTGGGCACGGGAACACGCTCACCCGCGGTGCGGCTCTGGGCACGGGAACACGCTCACCCGCGGTGCGGCTCTGGGCACGGGAACACGCTCACCCGCGGTGCGGCTCTGGGCACGGGAACACGCTCACCCGCGGTGCGGCTCTGGGCACGGGAACACGCTCACCCGCGGTGCGGCTCTGGGCACGGGAACACGCTCACCCGCGGTGCGGCTCTGGGCACGGGAACACGCTCACCCGCGGTGCGGCCCTGGGCACGGGAACACGCCCACCCGCGGT